GGGGTTGTGGCACTCATCTCGCTTTATTGGCCGAGGGAGCCGGCGTACAGCTTCCGGGTCATGTGGCCTGCATGACTAAGCCGCTTCTGGCGAACCAGAGCAGCGCATGGAAACGCCGTTTACCTTCCCACCGGAGCGGTACTTATTTATCTACTTCCACTTTGACGTGCTTTCAAACTGCTAGGTTGGCAGAGCTGGGACCGAGCAACGGGAGCTCACCCCGTCGCGGGGATTCGAACCGCCGACCTTCTGATTGGCAAGTCCTAGACTCTGTGGTTTAACCCACAGCGCCACCTGCGTCCCTTAGATATGTAATAAATGTTCATAAATGTACCAAGCAAACACATACATAAATATATAAACCACATGTCTGAAAACCCCATGGAAAAAAGTCCTGAACAAATTGACCTCAATTATTTCTCTGCAAAGTCAAAGTGGGAAACCTCCCCATTGTCTTTTTCCTTCACAAATCGTGTCTTAAGGGCACATTTAAGATATGAATAGGGTGTGAGCCTGTGACCTCGCTCAGGAACTAAGTATTTATCATTACAAAAGACTGGCCAGGCTCCCCAGGCAATCCAATCAAGTGACCATTAAACAGGTAACCTGGCAGACAGGAGGTAAACAAACCACTCAGATTTCTGCTGTAGACCACCCCTTCTGTGATGTATGTATGATGTATGGAGGGGTGGTCTTGAGCTCCAGGGCAGGGAATTTAAAATGTCTATATAAGGCCTTGTGCGCCATTGTTCTGGGTTCCTCCTCCCTCCGGTGTGTGGTGAGTGAGGACCCTGTTGCAACAGATCAATAAAGATCAGGCTTACTAGCTGCTTTGCTTCTCAATATTCTCTGGTTGGCCTCTGTTATTTTCTCCTACCAATAGGGAACCTACGTACTGTAAGGACTCTATATGGGCTCTTGGATACCCCATAAGGGAAAAAAGGGCAGATTTTTTTTGTTTACAACAGTTCCCAATTCAGATCAGGCCCCTGGGTTGACAATTGTGTTTGTTTGTTTAAAGAAAACCTTGCACCTATGCGCACGGATGCAGAGCAAATGTATCATCCAATTTAGTCCCCAGTAAGCACACAGGTTTCCATTGTGCAATTAAGGGTTTACACAAAAGGAAGTCCCGCCGGTCCATTGAGGCTTCTTCTCAGGAAAGCAGGTTTAGGAGTTCAGTCCCCATCTGCTCGTGAGACACACTTTTCTTTAGGGTTTCACTCGTCCCAGAGCTAAACGCATTTATTCTTTTTCCCTTGTGCAATTTTATGATAACGTGGCTCGTATTGATAAACAGCAAAACGATGGCATCTGATTAAATGTAATTTAATTTACAGATGGAAGCCGCACCTGTCTGAAAACCAGTGAAACCTCTTTACAGATATGAAAACAGTGAAAGGAATGAAGAGCAATTGTGCCAAGCCCTGTGCAGGATAAAATTCCGTCATCTGTCACCCCTGCTTTGTGACCATCATTTTTGTGTTTATACAAAAGGGGGATTTATGAGGGTCTGGACCCACTGCTTGTGTTTCTGGGGGAGATGGGCATCCATTGCTTCAGGGGTGGGGTGCCCCTCCAGCACCCAGAGACACGCAAACAGCTCCATCGCCACAGATGATCCAGATTTCTCTGCAGTGCCTGTGGTCACCATGGCAACAGAAGACTGGAGAATGGATTCAGGGATGCCTGTGCTTCCTTCTCTAGCAGCAGGCCTTAAGGGGAAGGCCAGCTCCAGACATACTGTGAAAATTCCTTTATTTGAGCTTTTGAGTCAGAGTCCAGCCTCAGAACATATTTCAGATATCTAAGTTCCATGCACATCTTCTGTATATCGGGGCAGCCACTCCCCACCCTGTACATCAGCCTCCCCATTTTTGTCCTTTGAAGGACGTCTTATTAAAATGTTGATATTTGTTTTACACATGCAATTGGGGTTATCATTTTTTAATTGTGCTCTTTAAATTTCCCCTGAGACCCCTGTCCTCCAAAATACATTATGAAAACCTATATTCCATTACATACACCACAACTTTATACATCTGTAAAAGACGTTCTTATTAAGGGATCCACAAATTAGTCTAAACCTTTGGAAGTCGCCTTTGGGTTTTGGGGGGGGATGTGTTTACACGAAACCTGGATTTCTGAAGGTTACAGCTTGCTTGTGGGCAGTTCTCATAGACACCTGGTTGAACTAGACAGGGCACTGGCCTGATCCAGCAGGCTCTTATATTTTTTAATGCCTTCCCCTGGGTCAAACTATTGGTACATTTAAGCTGCTGTTGTTTACCCTGATTGAGGCCTGCAGTTCATGGTGTCTGGCAAAGATCCAGGACTGATCCATTTGCGGGCTTTGCCCTAGAAGAACTAGACAGCAGGATAAGTCTATCTATGGCTACTAATATTGCCAGGATGGCTAGATGCTTCTTCCATGGAATGAGGCAGTAACGCTTCTGAATAATACTTGCTGGAAGCTGATGGAGAAGAGAGTGGTCTTGTGCTCTGCTTGTGGGTTTCCTTTTGAGGTATCTGGCCTGATCTAGCGGGGCTTTGCATTCATAAGATTCTCCCAATACCAGAGAGAAAAATCTCACAAGGGGGGACTTTGGGCCAGTCATTGCCTTTCAGCCTAACTGGTGGCGCTGTGGTTTAAACCACTGAGCCTCTTGGGCTTGCTGATCGGAAGGTCGGTGGTTCGAATCCCCACGACGGGATAAGCTCCCGTTGTTCTGTCCCAGCTCCTGCCAACCTAGCAGTTCAAAAGCATGCCCGTGCAAGCAGATAAATAGGTACCGCTCTGGCGGGAAGGTAAACGGCGTTTCCGTGCACTCTGGTTTCCGTCATGGTGTCCAGTTGCGCCAGAAATGGTTTAGTCCTGCTGGCCACATGACCCGGAAAGCTGTCTGTGGACAAATGCCGGCTCCCTCAGCCTGAAAGCGAGATGAGCGCCACAACCCCATAGTCGCCTTTGACTGGACTTAACTGTCCAGGGGTCCTTTACCTTTACCTTACCTCACAGCATTGTTGTGGGCATTAAATAGGGGAGAGAACCAGGTACACCACCTCCAGCTCCTTGCTGGAAAGTGAGATATAAAATAAATAACTGCAATTTACATCCAGGTGCAATTTAATTTTAGACTCCATACTATCGAATGAATAGGTTCAGTTTGCTAAACGCATTTTGTTCCAGAAGCTAGTTTGGAAGTGGGAGATAGCAAGGAAAATGAAGGCAACGCAGGGCAGATGGGGAAGAATCTCCAGCGCTGGTATCTAACCAGGGCTGTGTGACGACAGAAAAGAGTTATTATGAGAAATCCATTATTAAGCCGCATGGCAGTGAGATGCTTTCACTGGAACAACAAGCCACTTAACGTGCTTGCAGTTTCCCTTTTCCCCCTCCTGGCAATGGTTGCTGCTCGTTTTGAATGCAAAACAGGTAATTAAAGGGGGGGCATGATAAAAGATGCCTGGTGGCAGTGGCAGGCAGTGGGAATCCCTGCGACCGTTTCCAGATGCAGCCTGCACTGCACGCGAAGAATCCTTAGAAGCGTGCAAGCTCCTTCTTCAGGATACGCAGTCAGCCCGGACAGCTCAGTGAGTTGCAGCATGGCACTGATGACGCCAAGGTTACAGGTTTGATTCCCTGTGACTGCATATTGAACCTCAGGGTCCCTTCCAGCCAGTGCCGGAGTTAGGTATAAGCTAAACAAGCTAGACAAACCAAGACAGCATCCTAAAAAGCAGAGACATCACCTTGCCAACAAAGGTCCGTATAGTTCAAGCTCTGGTTTTCCCAGTAGTGATGTATGGAGGTGAGAGCTGGACCATAAAGAAGGCTGATCGCCGAAGAATGGATGCTTTTGAATTCTGGTGCTGGAGGAGACTCTTGAGAGTCCCATGGACTGCAAGAAGATCAAACCTCTCCATTCTGAAGGAAATCAGCCCTGAGGGCTCACTGGAAGGACAGATTGTGAAGCTGAGGCTCCAAGACTTTGGCCACCTCATGAGAAGAGAAGACTCCCTGGAAAAGACCCTGATGTTGGGAAAGATGGAGGGCACAAGGAGAAGGGGATGACAGAGGACGAGATGGCTGGACAGTGTTCTCGAAGCTACCAGCATGAGTTTGACCAAACTGCGGGAGGCAGTGGAAGACAGGAGTGCCTGGCGTGCTCTGGTCCAGGGGGTCACGAAGAGGCGGACACGACTAAACGACTAAACAGCAACAAAACAAGCTATAGCTTAGGGCCCCACTCTCTTGAGGGCCCCCCAAAAAATGTAATGAAAAAAGCAACTGGATGTTCATTTCCAAAATATAAGATAAAAAAGAAATAAAATAAAACCTACATGCAGCAACAGTGTTTTGTGTTGTGTAGGCTCCTGTGATGTAAGTCATGGGCCCCGCCTGCTAGCCTGCTCCCTAAAATATCACTGGTTTGCTACTTTCTATATACAGTATAGGGTGCCTACATTCTGCATGGACGGGTTGCACAGCAATATGTGCCAACGGCTTTCAATACATTAGGTCCATAAATTACCATATAGCGTATATCCAGGACAAAAAGCAGCAACAATTTCTTGTTGACAAATGACAGATGGACATATAAAGCGCCCCATTACCTTCAGGAGCTGAGGGCCTCATCAAACCTAAATCCGGCCCTCCTTCCCCATTTCTCAAGGGCACCTGTCGGGGACGACAACGCCCCCAAGAGGGAGAGAGCGAAAAGAGCGAGAAAACTACACGCCCCATCAGCCCTCGGGACAATCCCTTAGGGAAAGCTGCGCGCGCAACCCAAGCCTGCCGCAGCGCGTTACTCAGCCTAAGGGGCGGGGCTTGGGTGGTTCCCGCCCCGTCCTCCTGCTCCTTATTATTATTAAGTCCTGGCCGTTGGGCGTGTGCGGGCGGCGGTTGAGCGCGGGGGCGGGGCCTGCCGGCTCCTTGGGCGGGGCCTGGCGGGGGCGGGGCTTAACGAGTCTCTTCTCTTATTTACGGCGGGCGCCCGGTGGTCGAGGCCGGCTCGGTGCGCGCGCTTTGGAAGTTCGCGAGCGCGCTCGGTTGCGCGCGCAGCTCCTCTGAGGGGAAACTTGAAGGGGGCGGGGAGCACCTTCTCCGTGAGGGAAAAGTGAGGGGAAGGTGTCCCTCCCTGTGAGGGAAGGGGCTTCTTTTTGCCTGGAAAGGGGGGCGTGAGGGGGAGGGGTGCCTTTTTTCGACAAAAAAAAAAAAAACCCACCCCAAATATTTGCCGGCTCCCGGCGAATTCTCTCTGTGCGTGAGAGGAGGGGCTTCCCCCACCCCAAAACCGACTGAGGGCTTATGGGGGGAGATTGACAGGCCCCTCCTCCCTTCCACGCCCCCCCGACCAATTTTGGACCAGCCCCTCCCCTCCCCCCGCCGGGTGGGGGCAGTGAGCGCCTCCATGCCCTTGGCTGGGCTGCTGGGCGGTCTCCGTGCCAGCGGCAGCCCCGCCCACCCGGCCGGCCAGCAGGTGGGGTGGGGGCGTGGGAGGGGGCGGGGGTGAGCCTTTGCACACGCATACACACACGCACGCACGCACGCGTGTGCCTGCGAGATCGGCGCCCGTCTGCACGCTCGCCCATCGCTGCATCGCCCGAAGTGCTGCTGCTGCTGGCGCCCACCGGGACCCCTGGGGAGGCGATGGGGGACCACCGAGAGGCCGGCGACGTCAACTCGAACCTGCTCATCACCTTCAGCACGGGGGACCTGCAGCTGGACAAGGCCATCTGGCAGTGGCTGACCTGGGACAAGGTGGGTCGGGCTCTTCTTCCCAATAGCCCCCCACCAAGCCTCCTGGATCTCTTAAGTAGCTGCCAGAAAGAGAGAGGGGGGGGGGCGATACTATACATTTCGCTCCTCGTGCAGTTAAAGGGCTTTGCCAACGCCAGAAATAGGAGGTTGCTGCGCTGGGCGCTGCTGGAAAATCGTGCGCACGTTAGCGTGCTGGAGAGGCTTGCTGGGGGGGTGGGAAGGCTTCGGGGAAACTCGCATCTCCCTCCTTTGCAGCGTAGGTGAATTTTCGGCGCTGGCAAGAAATACACAAGATCTACAAAAAGAAATACACCGTTATCGATTGCCTTTAATTGTGAATGTGCGATCGAGATCGGTGTGCGTGTTTTCCCTTGCCACTGCCATTTCTCCCCCCTCTCCAAAACGAAGCCCTGCGGCATAACGTTTCATGCATCTGAAGACCTGTAGTCCTCAAAAGCTTGCGCCATAATAGATTTGTTAAGTCTTTTAAGTTGCCAAATACTCTCTGCAAACGACTAACATGGCTACTCATATTGCGAGGGATTCCTTAGTGTCCAGCAAACCTTTGCATTCATGTTCCCTTAAAATAGGGCTTTTGGTCCATGTAATTAGGCAGAAGACCATAGTTTAAAATTGGGGTGAAGCCCCTCTCTGAGTAGGGGGCTCATGTGGCTCTGGAAGAAAGAAATTAATGCATCCCCTCACTTCAAAAAAGATGCTTCTCCCTTATTTCAGCACCATGTACTGCTGTCCTTAAGCAGTAGTGCTTAATAAACAGTGATGCAATGTAGAGCAGTGACTCATCTATGTTGTAGACAAAGGAAAGTGTTTCTGAGAGCTGGATGTTTTGCACTTTCCTGCTTTGAAATTTCTGTTTTCAGCAGAGGGCAGCTCTGCTATTTTGATTTCATTTTGTTTTTGCAACGCTGTGCAATTCTAAGACCAAGCTTAAACAACTTTCTTGGCTGGGCTGTTCTGCCGTAAGTGCCCCACAAGTTCCTTTGACACTATCATTCTTGGAAAGGTATGACATTGCAGAATACAAATTAATTGCAAGTCACAATTTGTGTGTTGCTGTCTTAAGACACTTCCCTTTTCTCTCTCTCTCCTCTTCTTTTTTTTAAAACTAGGCAGTGCTGCAAACTGTGTGTCTTTGCTTTGTTGCCTGTTTTGTTTTGCACTGTTCTGCTTCCTCCGGGAAGCTATTTCAGTCTGGCATCAAATTTGCTTTTGTACTTGGTTATCGGTAGCGTGTAGGTCTTTTGGCCAGTTATAGCTGATCTGGTTCCCTGATGTCTTACTCTTCCTCCTCCTGCTTGCTTGGTGATGTCATACAGAGTCTGATTAGCATTGTGCAGAGGGAACCTTGTGAAGTGGTCTAGGGGGTGAGAGCTGTCTGAAAGGCAACAATCAGTAATTTGGAAACAGACAATTTATTTTTTGAATTCTCAGTCATTGGGAAGGTTCTCTGTAAAATAGCTTTTATATATAGCACAATAATAAAACTGAAATAGTGGAAAAGAACACGACATATTGCAGGTGGACTACGGATGTATTTTTTCAAGGGGAAGGAGGACATTTTGGTGTCTGCATTTTTCAAATAAACTCGGGAGACCAGCAGTTTCTACATGAATGCAAAAGGGTGATCTTGCCTTACTGCAGATGGGACTGATGTGGCTATGTGCATTATCACACTCTAAAATTCAGTGTATAATATGTAAAAGAAGCTTAACGTGTTTTACTGCTTCCAGGTGCTCCATAGTTAGATCCTTAGATGACTATGGTTGTCTATGGGAATTCTAAGGATTTTAAAATGTGCTTCTCCAAACCTTGCATCTCTTTGATGTTTCAAGATTTTATTCCATGCTCTTCAACAGCTTTACATAATTCCACATATTTCAGTTTTTCCACTCTTGTCACTTCCAGCAGTTAACCTGGGCTTGTGATGTAGATGGCAGCCTACATGGGTCATTGCTTCATTTTGAGCTTAATTGTTCCTTTGTTAATGCAAAATCTTACAAAGGGGCAGGTGGCACCTGAGCCCCAGTATGTGACGTCAAAATTGTACCCAGGTACTGCAGCTCTTTTTTTCCTTTTCTTTTTGGTAACAATGGCCATACATAAATATTTCATTATCTGTGCAGCTTGCTGATGCTGCAGATTGGCTTGGGGCCTATTTTTAGGAACTGTTGCCTCTGAGGTTGGATGTAGCAAGTGATTAATAATGCATGCCACCAATTGTATAAGTGAGGAAAGTTAGTAAAAAAAATAATCATCCTGCATTTGAAATGTGAAGGATACAGTGGGGGGGGGGAGTTCAGTGATGGAGGAAATGTTTTGCTTACAGAAAATTCCAGGTTGAATCCCTAAAATTTCCAGATTAAAAAAGGGTCAGGTAGCAGGTGATGCGAAATAGCCCTGCCTGCGATGCTGGAAGGCTGCTGCCAGTCAGAGTAGCCGTTCTGGGCTAGGTGAGTGAATCAACCCAGGATCAACCCAGCTTCCTGTGCTCCTAAATGTACTTGCCTATGTCTTGAAATTACCTTGAGTTACAGGAGATCAACAAATGGCTAGATTCACATCCAATTTAAATTGAAGTACTTTGCTTAATTGGATCAAGCGGAATAAAGGTGTAATTTTAAAGGTGTAATCATGGTGACCCACATAAGCTCTGTAACATTTATCTTATTCAGGCATGAGGTGTAGACTTGGAGCATTACATGATAATTGATATCACATTTGGAGAAATGTCAAAATACTTTTTTGCAACCTATGTCGTCTTATTCTAGAAACAGATGAGCTTGTACAAATAAAACAAGTTGTATGTGCGTCTGTTTCTCTCTCTCTCTCTTTCTGAATGTATGTGAAAGCTAGGCCATGAAATTGGGACTTTTTAGGTAAGATTTAAGTTTTGTTGTAGCAGAAGTGCATACATAATTCTGGCAATTCACTACTGCTTTGTTATCTTTGGTTTACTGAAAAACTGTCAAACAAAGCCAATAATTCAGAAGATAAGTTGATAATGGTTTTACATTCTTGCCTCCTTTCTCTTTGGGATTTGACTTCTAGAAATTAGAATCAAGCTCTGTCCAGTATTTGGAAACCTAGAACTATGGTGGGCAGAGTTTATTTACAGGAGTTGTACCACAGGTAGCTGACTTGAGTTGCCCAGATGCTTGGAGCCAGCCTAGAATCTCTGGTTTTCAGGGCCGAACTAAAAGTCACATTATTTATGTTTTTAGCCCTTGAGTGTTTGGGGTTTTAAATATATAAATACAAGTGTCCTCATCCAGACCACCACGGGGAAGGGAGACTTCAACTTTTTGCTCCTGCCATGGTTTCAATAGGAATCAAGGTGTCTGGACCTGCCATCTACAGTGCCCCACACATGCTTTACTAAACCATCACCAAATTAGCCTCTAAAGGATTAAAAGATGCTGATAAAATAGGGTCTATTTGGGGCCTTGGTACTTGATGTGTAGCTGGATGCTTGTCTGCAAGACATCCACTCCCAATATTGGAAGAAGGGAATACTGTAACTCTTTCCCCCGTAACATAGTTCCTATTGAGCACAGTGGGACTCAGTTGTGGGTGAACATGCACAGACTTGCACAAAACTAATATTTTTTACTTTCACCTTAAAGCGGCTATAACAGATTGATTTAGCTGAATAAGAGCTTGTAGTGTTTTGGTATCTGGGCCTGTCTTCCAGTGAAATAAATATTGCTTTCTTTTAAGAGTTAGGAATAAGAAAAACATGGTTTGAAGACTTGATGATGTTAGAACTTTAAAATGAATTGACAACTAAAAGAGAGAAAACAAAATAATATATTAACTAGTAAGACTAAAACTGCAATTATATGCACACTTTTCAGGGAATAAACTCCATTGATTACAGTGGGATGTATCATTTATCTAGCAAATTGATTGTATCTGATATTTTATGGTGTCATAAGCAAAAAGCATGCATAATAAATGTGCATCGTTGATAAGGCTGTAGGTCATGGAATTAGACCTGCTATGGATAAATTATTTTACAGGATTACATATCTGACAGTCACCGTCAGAGTCATTCCACTGAAATTGATTTATGTGGGTCTCCTGTGAGAATGACCCAATTGGATACCACATACAATGTATTCATATTACTATTTGGATAACTTGAAGCGACTTTTTACCTCCCTACTAAAACCCATACAAGGCCTGGTTCTTAATGGAATCTTGTAAGGAATGAAGTTCATGCGTGTATTTATTTTGGCACATCAGTTAACAGGCTGTAGATTGCTTCCACGCAAGCTCTCTGAAGCCTCGCTCAAGTGATCCTGGATTTCATCTTTGGCATGTTGATTTCTGCGCCAGGGTCTGATCCAGGTGAGCAAGCCTCTAAAATGTAGACGTAATGCAACTGAATTCACTTCACCTCAGGCAGCTGCATTTTGAAGAGCTTAATTGCTGCCACAATTCACTGGGAATGTCAGGGGAATTATGAAGGAGGAATGTATGGCAGGGAACCTTTTTTTGCCGGAATTTTGGTAAATTATTGTGTATTGTGAACCACTGCGGGCACAGTTTCTTGTGGAAAGCGGCATATAATTAAACTGAAGCTTAATGTACTGCGTCCATGAAGTCAGTAAAACTGCTGCTTCCTTGTAACTTCTTGCTGGCCTAGTATTTTGTCATATTTAATGAGCCATAGTTAGGAGGAGGTGAATATAATTTACAGTACATCAAATTCTTAGGCTTATAGGTTTATGGATAGTTGGGCAGGGATGTCTGCGCTGATAAGTCACAAACACTCTGTAAAGGGGATTAGTCCTATAGGGGACTGGCTATGAATTTAGATAAGGCAAACATAAATCTATATACAGTGGTACCTCGGGTTAAGAACTTAATTCGTTCTGGAGGTCCGTTCTTAACCTGAAACTGTTCTTAACCTGAGGTACCACTTTAGCTAATGGGGCCTCCCGCTGCTGCCGCTCGATTTCTGTTCTCATCCTGAA